CAATCACGTGGCAAAAACTTTATTTGCACGTGCAATGATAAGTGGTTAAAGTTCGGTGGTAAATAAAGAGATATTTTGAAAATTTTACCGGTGAAAGGTGGACATCTCTAAACAATTCATTATGATTTGTAGGTAATATTTATGATCCACACTTCAGTATGGGAAAAGATCTGGACCTGGTGTATTCGCGCGAGATGTTTCAAAATTTAACGAAAATGCGCGAAAATCACTGCTACACGGACGTTACTTTACGCGTCAAAGGAAAGATATTTCATGCTCATAAAGTGTTATTAGCCACTTCGAGCCGCTTTTTTGATGCAATGTTTTCTGCCGAGTTGAAGGAAAGTACACAGAATGAGGTGGAACTTCAAGCGAAGATTTAACCGCAGAGGCCTTTGAAACAATTTTAAATTTCATCTACTCCTCCGTTCTCCCGCTAACCGAAGATAACGTACTAGACGTTTTAGAAGCAGCCGATCATTTGCAGATACTTAGCGTGGTTAAGAAGTGTTCTTTATTCATCGGAAATAACCTTAGTCGAGATAAATTCCACATGGAAACTCAACTGAAAATTCACAGAGTTGCTGAGCGGCATAATTTGACTGAACTCCGTGAAGAAAGTCTTCAAGCGCTCGCTCTGAAGTTTGGAGAAATTTGCGAGGAAGATGGATTTATGAAGAACATCACTGTAGACGAGTTAGAGCTTCTTCTTCCACGTAACGATCTGAGTGTTCCCTCGGAAACTTTTCTTTTCACAACCGTGATCACTTGGATGAAGTACGATAAAGAAAACCGATTGCCACATGCGCCAAGGCTGCTGAACAAAGTTCGTTTAGCACTTGTCGACATAATGGTTGTGCTATCAGAACTTGAATCGGAGGAGTTCAAAGACATCCCTGAGTGTTTTTCGCTCATGCACAACAGCTTATCACAGCATGCCCGACCCTTTTTGTTTTCTTCATTTGCTCAAGAGAAGGGAATGCCACGCCTCTCATCGAAGGTAAGTACTTTGGCCTTTGCAGTTCTGCTGCATGCGTTCATGGTTAGAGCGTGGGGTAAGAGGAAATAGTAACAGCACATTATTGTCGGTACACCGATTTTGGGTCACATACTTAATCTGATAGAGTGGGTTGATCATAAGTCAGAGGCATCAGGGGTTTTTCATTAAAGGTTGGCCTACACCAGAGTCTCACTTGACTCTAACAACATTCTACAGTTTATATATGTTATTCACCAGACGGGAGGTCCGTATTGGGAAAAACTGTGCCCGAGGTCTTGGTTACTCTAGACAGAGGGCACAGTTTTCCCAATACCGACTGACCTTGGCTGGTGAATAACGTTTTTATTTTTTCTCAAACCTAACAAATGATTGCAAAAAGAACCACACACTGTGAACAGGATGGATGGGGAGAATACTGCCTGCTCTCGGAACCAATCAGATTGCAGGATTTGTAGAATACCACTCGCTCATGAACTGAGGAAAAAATAATTTCAATCATTATACGTTATTATTCTTTGAATGAAGCTAGCAACAAGAGTAGAGGGTTCGTATGCACCCGAGGAGCCCCCCTCAGAGCCTCAGCTATATTGACACTGTTTTACCTGCTTTTGTGCACTAATTTTGCAATTTCATTAATATCAGGTACTTAGTGCCTGAGAAGGAGTGCCAGATGGGAAATTTTTGGCTCCAGCTCCTAACTCAGTTAATAAGCATTGCTTTAGACAATTGCAGCTCTTTGTATTTCTTCCTTTCTTCTTTAAGCTCGCATCTTCGATGGTTGTGCAGCTCTTCCAGGCCCTGCTCATGCCATGGTGTAGGGTCCATGTCTGAAAGTTTTTTTGTATGCTTTCAATAAAAGCACATATGGGGTGTGTGTGCTCTTGAATAAAAAATATGAATCACCGTCACATACAATTTGTTTTAGAAAATTTGGAGATGTCTCAGGACAGCCAGCTCGTAGCTCTTATGCTGCACAAAATTGACACAAAACATCTAACATAACAATATCTTTTTAACAGTTTATTACAACCATTGTTGATTTTTTTAAGGCCCTGGTTTCATTGTCATGCTTGTCTGAGGTCAAGTACTTTGATAGTGTGTCTAAATCATGGAAGCCATTTCCTGGTCTTGAACTACCAAGTCTTCAAATCAAACCAGCAGCACTGTACGCTGGAAATTATTTGTTCCTCTTTGATGAGAAAGATGTCCATCAGCACCAACTTGATACACATGCTTGGAAAACATTACCACCTATGAAGAATACACATTGTGATTTCCAAGTATGCATGCTGGAAGATTTCCTGTATGTTATTGGTGGCAGTGAAGTTAATCACACTGTAGTATCGGAGAGATTCAGCTTCTCAAAGAAAACATGGCAACGCCTTTCTTTCCATGTAGATCAAGGTCTGTATGGCTGTGCTGTGGCTGTACACAATGGCTATATTTATTCTATTGGTGGCTCTTGGGCTGAAGGAGGGGCAGATCGTGGGGTGTTCAGATTTAATCCTTTGAAGAATGAATGGGCAAAGTTGGCAGGAACAGTTTACAGCCACACTCAGGCCTGTGCCTTTGAAGCTGGGGAAAGATTGTATGTTGCAGGTGGTAAAACAGACCCACCCAGCAAGCGTCAAAGGGGACTTGTTCCATCCAGTTATGTTGAGGTATATGATGAAGAAAATAACCAATGGTGTTCTGTTCCACAGCCTCACATACCACCTGGTAATTTTGGAGCTGTGGAGATTGAGGGTCACATTTACTTCATACTCGGAAACACTGCCTTTGACAGTGGGATCCGAATTAGTGCTGAGGAGGTTTATCATGTCAACATTGAAGATTGGGAGCCAATTTCTCAGCATGATACAGATGCAGTGTTTGTTTATATGCCTGTGAACAGAACTGAGACTGATCAAATGAAACAAGAATTGACAGAAAATCGTGAAGCTTCAGATGAGCTGTTACTTGAGAACAGTTAATTGTAAAAAAGTATCTTTGATATCTTAGGAGAATATTCCAAGGTCATCATTATAAAAATGCCCTTATGGGGATTGTTAAGGTCATAAAAACAAAAAAGTCAATCATAGAGATTTTGAATTTAAGTTGCATTTGGAGACTATTTTAGTGAGATACCATTTAACCATTGACCAATTAGGTGCGATCATTCTAATAGTCACCTGAGTCCATATAAACTAAGAAAACACGTCAGCACCCTGGTTCCATAGAGAGACATCAGGCTTAGACTTTTTCAAATTTATAGGAGGCATTTCGAAAAAAATTGTGCAAACAGCATTTTAATGAAAAGCCTAATTTGAAATCAGTGTTGATATCTTAATGCAATATAAATAAAACCCAAAGAAATGTATGAAGCCGCATAGTATTTGATAATGTAACAGGAATGGAGAATATTCTACCAATCCTTCACAACCGCCCCTTTGTCACGTTACGTAACACGAATCCCATATTGGAAGGTATGTGTCAGTCTTCCTTGATTTCATTTTGATTTAGAAATTTTTGTATTGAGTTTCTCCTATAAGCGCAGAATGAATCTTAAAACCATAACGTTCGACTTTCTTTGTGCCGTGATTAATCAAACAGAAAGAAAAACGAAATATTTCCGTCACGCAAGACATTCGTCTCAGACATCTGGATCATTGTCAATATCTGAGCAACTGCACACCTACCACTCACCGAACCACTTACGGTCATCTTGTGGCTAATGTTGGGTTAGGGGAGGGGCTGGTGTGTAGTTACTCATGTTGCGTGACTGTTTGATTTCCTGGTCACGCGATGATTTGCCCCAGTTTCTGCTCCTCCGGAATCGGTAAATTCCTAAATTTCAAAATGGTTGTAAACAATTCCGAAACTCTTTTGTACAAATGTGCTCAGTTTAGAGACGAGGAGCAGTTCATAGATGTTCGCTTAAAAGTTGGTGAAGACATCTTTGCAGCTCATCGCATCGTGCTGGCTGCGAATAGCGATTATTTCTACGCCATGTTTACAGATGGAATGAGAGAAGCAAGTCAGGAAGTGATCGAGTTGAAAGACGAGAGTATTTCACCAGATATTTTAATGATCATACTGGACTCCATCTACACCGGAGAGCCTCACCTCAACGAAGATAACGTGTTTGAAGTTCTTGCTGCAGCAGATCATCTTCAAGTGACAAGTGTTGTTCAACAGTGTTGTGATTTCCTGCTGACCGAGTTTGTGAAGCTTCGCTTTGATTTTGGACAATTCTGCCGCATCTGGAAAATCGCTGATAGCCATGGCTTGAAAGATCTGCAAGAAGCTGCCGAGTATAAAATTGCTAAGATGTATAAAGATGTCTGTGAAAGCGAAGAATTTTTGACCTACATCGAAGTAGATCAGTTATTCAGCCTTCTCAGCCGAGATGACCTCAGTGCACCGACCGAGACGTTCATCTTTAAATCAGTGATGCAGTGGATTAAACACAAGAAGGAAGAGAGAATGGAAGTTGCGGCCAAAATTATTGGAGCCGTTCGTCTGGGGTTGGTGAATATCAGAGAGGTTATAG